GAGATTGATGCAGAATAAAGTTTTACATTTCTTTGATCATTTTCAACTGAAGCATTTTTAAGCCTTTGATATTCTTGTTTCACTATGGATTAATAAACTACTATCTCAATCTGCTCAACATGATATTCAAACAATAACAGCTCTTTGCCATTTTCTCGAAGGAAAATCTCATGACTTTGATACTATTCAATGGTTAGATCAAACGTCTTGTTCAATACTTCAATCCTTGTTATCATTGGATAATGAAAATAATGGATTTGCTATTGATAGATTATTAGTTAAAATTGCTTTCTCAAATCATCAATTATTACCTGTAAATCCAACGACTCTCAAAGAATTCCTACTTGATAAAGATTTTGAAATAAATTCAATTCCTATGATTCTCTTTCCGTTAATCATTACTTTATATGGGGGTTTAAAACGAGATGGTTCAGTTGTTATGTTCGATCCTTCTGATATTCATCGAGAATCAACTGCAATAACACCAATGTTAATACGTTTTCTATCTGATAATGATTGCAATAAACAAAAACAAAATTTAAAAAAATTAAAACAAGAATGTATAAAATCTTTTGCGATACGAATAGAAAATCATGATGAATCTTTAGAAGCAGTTGATTTGTGTATTGCAACTATATGTTTTTATAATATTGAATATATACAAGAAAATTTAAAGATGATTTCCAATTCTTTTTTACGTATGTGTAGAAATAGATTAAAATATATTTCAATGATTTTACGTCAATTCTATTTTGCTGCCGATGAAAAAGATCTATCCTTGGAAAATGAAACAACAATATTTATTTCAACATGTATCAAAAAATTTCAATATGTTGAATCAGCAAGAATTCATTTTTTGGATTTGTTAAATTCATTAAGAAGTAGTGTAGCTCGATTACGATTTTCCTCAACATCAATTTTATTAGAAGGAATATCAAAATCTGATAAACGAGTGACATTATATCTACCTAATTCTTTACGAAAAGAGAATTCATTTCTAAATTGTCTTTTAACAACTGATATGCACATTTGTTTCGATCGAAAATCGTCCTCATTAATTTATCATTTCACTAAACTTTTCTGGCTATTAGAAGAAAATGATCAGTTCGATACACAATATAGAATGGCAGTTGCTATGGATAACATACCAGAATACTTAATGTTTCTCAATAATGAAGATCTTTTAATTCCATTAACATTCGTTCCTTCACATTTACGGAATCTTTATGATCGATTATTGAAAGAAAAATTTATTACAATTAATCCAAGAGAGTCAATAGCAAATAGCAGACAACATCTTTATTTTGGTCATATTCTGACTGAATGTTTAATATTTCTATCAAATCCATGGTGCAAGAGATTGTCGATTCGAGCCGCCTCACTCACTCTTCTACCTTGGCTTCAAATGCAGCAATTAGAAAACTTTGGTAGTAGTCTATTGTGAACGTTAGATCTAAAAGAGTCCGATGCTTTGGATGCTTTTGAGAAAAGACGAAAACTGTCAATAAACCATGAAACTGATCAGTATACGCATATAGATAAAGATTCTTTTCTAGGATCTTATTTAACAGATGAAGAACGGAAAAGAGTAATACAAGATAATATTGAACAAGAATATCAAAGGCTTAAAAATGCTTCAGTTGAAAATGATCAAAGAAATGTAAAACTTTATTCTGCATCAATCTCTTTGGCACGTATTTGTCGTTGGACTGACGATGGAAGAAAATCATTTTTATTAGAACAAAGTATAAATGGAGCTATGTCAATTCAGAACAAACTTGCACGTCTTGATGCATTATGTGTCATTGCTTTTTACTTACATTCCGACTATGATCAAATTAGAATAGATAGAGATAGATCTCTTAAAAAGGAAATTGAGCATCAGTTCAATGAAATTTATCCAACTTTACCTCTTCTACTACAAACGATTATTTTTATTCGATGTTTACCTTTACTTCAGCATTCAAAAGCAACTGATGATTGTCTTCAAAATATCATAAATAAATTTGCCAATACAGACCAACGAGATCAACAAGCGGTCATTGGAGCTTTATTACCATACATGCAAATGAATAGCACTTTTTCATCCATTTCGAATTATTTCTCTTATAATTTACAAGAGCAAAATAAAACAATACATAATAAATCTTCTGCTTTGAAAACATATATTGATATTGGTACACATGAAAATTTATCGTTTTCATTATTTATGTCTAATTTGTATCTTGTGGAATTAGCGAATGATTTTAATAAACTGATTAAAATGGATAATCGTCAATTGAACATCAATGAACCAATCGAAATGAAGCTGTTTGAATTTAACAATAATATTTTGACAGGAGTACAAGCATTAGCAATAACAAATATTCTTTCTTTCATCTCGTCAACTAATCGATATAATCAGTATGAAAAGCTTTTGGTTACCTTAAGCAATACTCTTCATCGTGCGAATTTGATAGAATTAAAAGCGTGTCGCTTGTTAGAATCTTGGCTGAAATGGAAAGATTCAAATGAATATTCTTGTTTTGCCTATCATGCTGCACTTCTTCTAATTAATTCTCATATATGGTCTGTCGAAACTACAACAATTGTATGTGATCTTTTATGTAGTGACAATGATCGTTTTCGTCAAAGAGCTGAAATTATATTCCAATCACGAAATGAAAATGATGTTCGAACTAGTTCAATATTGGGTATTGATGTTTTATTAATTTTAGTTAAGAAGAAAGTTCATTATCAATTAACTTCAGCTTCTACCAAACTAAAATTAATTCGATTGTTTTCAAATATAATTATAGATATTCAATCTCATCTAGAAACATTACTTTGGTTAGAAAGATACAGAATTCATGCATTAACCAATAAGAAATATTCCTTCAACAAGTTAAGATCGTCGACAAATTCTATTGTAGCTACGTTTTTTTCAACTGATATAGCGATAGATGCATGTACTTATATTAATTTTTTTCGACTTTCTTTCTGATGATTTGGCAATGTATATGTGTGATATGATTGCATCGAATTTATTTTCATTCTTGGCGATCGATGGTAATACAACATCAAATGTAGTTTTGGAAAGTCATACTCGATTTGTTATTTCATTACTTTTAACTTCACATAATTTATTAAATAAGAATAATGAAATACGACAAGTAGCAATTACTGCTCTTATGAATTTTTTCGAAGTACCTGACAGCAATGAAATTCATCAAGTAGTCGCGTATGCTCTTGGCTATGTATGTGATGAACAAACATATAAAATTTTATTTGAAAAAATTGTATTCGTGATGAGCAGCATGTGTGATCAGACTTCTAATTATTCTAATGTTTTAACTGCACTAATTTCAAGTTATTGCCATTACATTTCTGTGAACAAAATTGCATTTGATCAAGATGATTTGGATTTATTCTGTAATTTGTTAAAACATGAATCTCAGAATATTTCAAAAGCAGCTCGTACAGGACTTGGTCGTGTGCTTCGAGATACATCATTTTTACTTGAAATGCTTAGCCGTGATTATATACAATGTTACCATGCATTAATGGAATCGTCTGCGTTCTTATATCTTTACGATGTTCAACAAAATCGTGAAAATGCTATTGCAGAGTTTATCGAAGAGCACCCTACTCTTTTATCAATCTTTATAGTTGAGTTGTACAATAGTATACGTGGCTTTACTAGTAGAGCATTACAGATGGCAGACATAAATTTACATTTACCTTACGGACATCCTCCATATGTGAACATTGCTAGTTTAATCGCTTTACGTATGCCAGCAGTGTTTTGTACTTTTATTAAAGACTGGTCTGATGGAGAAAATTTGAAACGTGCATTGTTCTATGCGAGTAAACAACATAATTTTCCACAACGTGCTGCTTGCTTAACAATTCTATCGCTGTTCGGTGAGTTAACAGTTGATCTATGTGAAATGTTCATTGAATCTGTTCACGATGATCCATATGTTCAAAATACTTGTTATAAATGCATAACTCGTATTCATTGCATTAAAGATGAAAAAGTTGTTTTAAATTTTTTATTATCTTATTTGAAATCAAAATCTATGAATGTTCGGTATATTACAATTAAAATACTTCTTCATCTTGTTCAAACATCTCTTATTCCATCTAAGCAAATTCTAACTGTATTGAATGATCTTATGTTAGATTCTGGTTCGAACGAAAATCTATGGTTAATTAAAGAGCAAGATGGTCTCTTGGTGAATTGTCAATATTATTATGCTGGTTCGTTGAAAGATGTTATTTATTCGCTTCTAATTCAGTATATAACCGGACATGTTAGTGATAATATTCAAAGATATGAATTCAATAATATTGATTTGGATTTTATTGAATCTGAAAAAGCATCCCACTTCGCTACATGTATCTATGAGGAAAGAACTACAACGAACATTGAATAAACATTAAAAAAAAAAAAACTCAGATTATTTTCTTCCTTAAAATAATAATGTTAAACATATGCTTGATGAGAAAGAAAACAGAAAGATATCTTCATTTACTAAACAATTTTTTTCTTCTAAACTGGAAATAAATATTTTTTTCAATGCTAAAAAAGCATGTTGTATATTGTATAGCATTGATGAAAGTATTGTTAAATGTCGATGATCTATCTATGATAGCCAGTATTCTGATGTAAAACTATACTATGATGCTGGGTATACACTAAATCTGAAACCTCTGACTCGAGTTTGATCTTGACTGTGATCATTTTTATCTAGTTAATAAAAGTAAAAAATGGAAGTAAGTCAAAATAGAGGATTCCAGGTTTGTCTCTGGTAAATCTACTTACAATAGAATAAATAATCCAGAAACTGAAAGTTTGCAGACATACTGAAAAAATCAACGGCATTTTGGAATACTCACCTTCGCTTTCATACGCCCTACCCACACTTTTTTCTGAGCAAAACTACTTATGTACTAGCTGAGAACGTCATCTACAGTCTTCTCTAGGAATATGGCTAAAGAAGTCGACGGACTATCGTAGATATTCGCACAAATATTGAAGAATGAGGGAAGCTGAATATGAAAACTTTCTGGGCTTGTGAAGGTCAATATGTGGACCAGTTTCTAGCTTTGATTTTTCATGTTGAGCATAACCATCTAACAAGAAAAAATATATTCTGATACAAACGTCATCTGACTACTTTGACAATGATTAATAATTATCTTGTCATATAGAGACTTCTCATATGAATGTGTCCTCAAATTTTTATTTTAAAAAGATCAGCATCACTATATGTTATAGATGATTAAATCTTATATGGAAACACAGTCCTACAAGAGAAGGTTTATAGTTCAGAAGCAAGTATTCAATAATATGGATATAGTAGAAGTATAACAGTTGCTCACTACAAGATCTAATTTTTGATCATTATTGAAATCATCTGAAGTCACGCTATACGAAACAAGGCCCGCTGAATACTCCAAATAACTTTGAAAGGTTCCATCTCGATTTCCAAGCAATACGCCACCGCTGCTATTCATTATATTAGGTGTTGCAAGATCCATTATTCCATCATTATTAAAATCACCCGATGTGATAGAGGATGTATACAAGCCTATTGCATACTTTCTATGAGTATAAAAACTTCCATTTCCCTGTTCAAGTAAAATAATAATGCTCTTATTTACTGTGCTTGTCGCTACAGGATCCAGGTTACCATTATTGTTATGAATTACTTCTTTCGTCTCCGTACCTTTGTCTGAGCGACAAATGTCGAAAATTTCTCGATTTTGCGGGAACTGCAAATATAATTGTTCTTGCAGTACGTCAATATTTGTCATTATGTTAAACCATGTAAAAGAATAGAATATGTTAATTTTACCATCAAAAGACGGAATGCAGTATTAATTCAACAGCACTTTTTTTTTCGACTCTGAATATAATCACTAATTTTGAGAATATTTAAAATTTCTTCTGGTTGAAAGTCCAAAACTGAGACAGTCGGTAATATTAGGAATGGGCGATGCTTTTCACCGACTTTAGTAAACAATGGATAGTACATGCTTGATTAGTAACTGATTTTGAAAAACTACATTCTCCAATTGTATACGCAAAAGGAATCGACTGCAATTCGTATTTAAAAAAAAAAGAAGTAATGGGCAAATAAAGACATATTTTTTCTCCAATCAAACACGATTTGATTTTCATATAATCGGTTCTTTATCTCACCCGGTATAGCCATACTTTCGTATTCTTTACTCTCGATCAAGAACTAGCAAATATTATGCCGATCCAACAAATGTCCATTAAGTGAAGTCTAGTGGGAACTATTGAATGTGGCTGTAAATCTGTGTAGATGACGAGAAGATCAAGATGTGCTGAAAAAAAAAACGAATAAATAAAATTTGTTTTCGCATCCATCGTACTGTGACACTGAATTGAAATTATTCGTTGTAGATAAAATGGTAATTACTCATTCATTTCAAGAATCTGCTATTAATGCAAAAAATTATATGCTATCTGGTCGCATGGCGCTACGACATGACCGAAAAGAACAGAGAGAGCCATTTATTTAATTGAAGATTTGAATATTTTACTCTTTCTGCGATTCTCTAATGAAGTAACCATCTTCTTCGTTTTTCTTGCTGCTTATTTAATGTCTCATACGAATGAAGAATGGTACATTCTTTGTCAACACGGACAAAAAGACAGTCAAACAAGTAACTGCTATTTCTTTTATTTGTATTGATCAATTATATTTGATCAGATCGACCATGAACAACGCCGACACTAACACTGATTTTGTTTTCGAGAACATGCTGCTAGTACAGATGATTTTGCTATCTAGTCTGAGCATCGTAGGAGTGATTGCAAGCATACTAAATATCGTAAGTTGTCCGTGTCAATATCTTGGTTCATCTTCATGCATTGATATGGACACCCGATGGGTTATTCTGCTTATAGCCCATATAGGGGTTGCAATTTTATTTATTAATCGATTCTGTATTGTTTTTCCGATGTTTATGTTCATTTCCAAAAAGAGGCAGTAAGCAGTTCTTTTGAATTAGCTATAGCAATTACTGACTGACTTTTAAGAAAACTTGCCAGAAAAACCTGGTGTTCAGAAATCGATGGCGTTTTGTATTCTCTGATAAAAGGTGAAATCCAGAGATTTCTATCTAGTTCCTATGAAAATTTATTCTACAAAAATTCACAATTCTTGTGTTATTTTTGAATTTTGAATATATCTATCGAAATCATGATACTAATTTTGTCGTTCTTTTTCAATTTTCTATCTTAATAAATATTGTTCCTATGCATAGATAATTCAACTGTTGTATCGTTCGAGGATAAAATAAAGATTCTTTCGATATAAGCCGATTTTGTACTATGAACATAATTTTATGTAACATATGCAACACTCAAAAAACTTTTTATGACAATCATTGACGTTCCTGGTATTGTATTGCAGCATTATGTCAAAGTTTCACACAATAATATAATTGAATTTGCGTTATATATGGAAAGACAAGAAATCTATTTCGACTCTGAAACTTTTTGTCGACTAAATCATGACCAACGAAATAGTACTTTGATATTATAATAAGTCTTGGAAATAATTAGTTGTATTGATTTTTTTATTCTACATAATATTTTTGCGTTCATCTCTATAATTTTCAGACAAAATCAGTTTAATTAAATATCCACATTTTTAAGGCATTATTCCATCATGACATTTCTTTTTTACTTGTGAGACGAAGTTTTCATATATTTTGAATAGTTTTTTTTTTTTATATATAGCATATTATTTATACTATACTTTAGCTGTAGAAAAGCTTTCAATTTCATTTTTATTTGAGCTAAAGTTTTTAGTTCTTTATACACCACACAAATTGAAAGTTTTATTATGTGTAAGCCAATCTGACTTACACGTATTGTCAAAAGACTAGGCTTATTCAACTTCAATGTATTGAGATATTTCAGTGATAAAGTGAAAAATTGCTTTTCTGTCATGCTTGGCTAGGTCGATTAATCATTTGCAATCTTGTCTTATTCTTTTTTTTTTTGAATAAACTTGATCGTTTTCATCACTTAAAAAAATACTGCATTACAAAAGATCTTGGTGGTAGAATTCTCAAATCCTTTTGGAAAATAGCTTCCGATAGGCAATTTTCAATCATATATAACTTCACTTGATATTTTATAAATATCTAATTCTTATTTCACCATCATCAAAAATAAAAGTCAACATACTAGGAAAATTCAAATGATAAACTAGTAGCTATAAGTTTTTATATGCTCGCTACGTTGATAGATGCCGTAGTGAAATGCTTTTCAATTGCAATTTTAAGAAATTCTTTCTTATCGATTTCACCAAACGCAATGTCAATACGAATGACTCTCATGGGCATATTAAATTGTTGATGAATTAAAATCGAAAATTGATAAGAAATAAAATAAATTACAAAATATTTACTCACATGTCTATCGAGTTGTGTTGTTGTTGTTGGTTTATTCCTTTTATCGATGAGTTGAAATTCATACACAAAATAAATTGTTATTCTCCTGTTCTCTTCTGTTTTTTTTCCATCGCTACAGATCAGAACATTCAATATAAGACACAGTACACCTGTCAACTGAAGAAACGAAAAAGAAAAATAACATTCTGACATATTTTCATGTGTGATTCATTTGTGTCATGAATAATGAAACAGATAAATAATAACGAACACAACTGAAGTTTTTACATCATAAATAAAAATAACTACCTAAAAGTGTAAGCGACATTCATCATAGGTAATAAATCAACGTCACTTCAATGTTCTTGTCGCCAAAGAAAAAGTATATCCAGTGAGTGATTTTGAAATATTGTCTGTTGTTTAAAGAAGTGGAGTTCGAAAGAAAACACATAATCATAGTTCGGAATCGAAAATAATCTAAGAGACGATCAACAAGACGAAAAATTTCTCAGAGCTTGTGTCATAAGAATAGAAAGAATTTCTTTTTTTCTTTCTCTATGCTTTTCTAAAATTGTCATTATATAAAGTTTAAACTAGATTTCACTCTTTTCCGTCGTTAAAGCTTGTGTCAGATCGTTATTCTTGATAACACCAGAATGTTTGAATTTTTCAACTAATGCACTTTTATTCTTTGACAAGGTTGTGAATAGAATTATTTTATTTTTCTCATTTCTTATCATAAGTTTGCTTTATACAGGAGATTAGTATTTCTGATAGATATTCATTCTTGCAAACAATTTAGCAAAACACGTAATTCAAATGCTTCGGTTTATGAATTGAAAAGTTACATGTATATATATATATATATATCGCAGGTATTGAGTCAACGGGCCAGCTTACAATACCTGAACAGAACAATATATCTATATGAATGAGAGAAGGAAGGAGAAAGAAAAAGAACAGTGATGACCATAGAATAAGCGTCTATAACAGAACATACGTGTCGCGGGATCCTATTACCGGTGTTCTTTCACTAAAATGAATATTTTCATGTTGATTATTGATTACATTGTTTTTTTTTTCTAGAACATAGGATGGCAATGGTTGATGGTAGTGATGAAGAAGAGCTGATGTCTGACAAAGAAAATAAGACATGTTCTTCGCCTGCGGTCACTTTAAAACTTTCGTGGTCAATAGAACAGATACGAGAGGCTTTGTTAGAATCACCATTCGCTAACATATCGATGGAAATTCTCATTCAAATTTTTCGATTACTCTCTGTACCTGATTTGAAAAATGTTGCATTAGTCTGTCGATCTTTTAATTTAATCGTTGATGATGATGAAATATGGCGATTGAAATGCAATAGTAAGTGACCGGTACTTTATCGTTTTTTTTGTCATTCTGAATATGAACATAGGATCACATAGATTATATTCAAAATCGTTTAAAGAAATTTACATGGACTGGATGCATGAAAAGTATTTACACAATCAAGAATTAAAGAATAAAGAAAATGCTTATGGACCTCGTGAAACGAATTACTTATCATTCGACTATTCTCTTGAATCAACAGATGACATCCAATTACCATCTCGTGCTGGATTCGATGAACATCCGGATTCATCAGAAGATATGTAAGTTTTATGAAAGATTAAATTAGCAGGGTGGAATTCGTCTAATTCAATTTTTTACATTTGATAGGATTATTGAACTATCAGTTGATATTGATAGAACAGCTCCTGAACTGATTTCTCTATTAGAAAAAGCATGTGACGTTGAAGTTGACTGGCGTCGACCAGAAATAATCAGACAAATGATTATGAGATACTATCGATTCATGCAACTAAAAGCGTCATTTCCAGCTGATATTTTTCTTGTACCAACATTAGACATTGAAATTGTCTGGCAAACACATTTATTGCGCCCAAATATGTATCAAAAAGATTGTCTGCGCTTGTTTCATCGCGTGATCGAACATTCATTATTAATCAATGATATTGAACAATATCTAAAAGAACAAGCTTTCCTAGAGACTTGCCAACTTTATGAAGAAAGGTTTGATGAACAATATTGTCCTTTATTAATCGACAAAGAGAAAAGAAAAGACACTTTGAAATATCATCGTTCTCTCTTCCGTTCATGTCTGGCGCCTAATTATTCTTATTGGGATCAAACATATTTTCTATTTGGATCAGAATCACCTAAAGATTACGAAAATTCATTTTCATTTACTGAAAATGATATCATTCTCGATTATGATTGGCTCGACTCTTGTAAAGAATTTATGTACAATTGTGTTTCAAACCAAGACTACAGTCCTCCGTACAAAATTGATCTCGGGTATTTACCAATGCAACTATTGAAAAAATCCTACGAACGATTTTTGTATATTATAAACAAATATTCATCGATCGAGGGATATCAATATATGCATCCGACACATGCTGTAAGTAGTCAATGATGAATAATTTGCTAAGAATGTTTTCTTTTTAGGTCGAAATAATTTGGCGAGCACATATGCAAGAACCAACAAAATACGCATCTGATTGTCAACGTCTCATTGGATATGTTGTCGATCAGACGCCAAGAAATTTGGTTGACACAAATCAAACAGAGAAATCATGGGAAAATATAACCAATGTTTGGAAAAGGGAATTCAATAGAGACATGGCAACAGACCATATTCACACGACTGCCAAATAATCATTCCTATAAAGATCGTTGATACTTTAGATTAATAAAGCAATATTTGTTTGTTTTTTGCAATCTCGAGAATTTTTACATTTCTTTAAGAAAAATAAGTCATGCTCTAACAAATAGTGCAAAATCTTTCTTTTTTCTGTAATGAGCATAATTTGATGCATTCTCTGTTACATGATAGTATTAAGAACGAGAAATAGCTGGAGTACTGATGAGTTTATATGTGCTTCTGGACATCCTTATTAAGTACAGAGCTGTCAAAAATTTATTCGACCAGTTTTCCACGTATGACTTTACAATAAAGGTTGACTTGCTTCTTTTCACGAAATATAATTTGAACCTGGGACGATTCATTCAAATAGTTTCCAATCGACGTCAACAGTATTACTGAGTTAATTAAAAGTCAGTCAAGAAAATATGCACATGATAAGATGATTTATTCATAAACATATGCAGGAAATGAAAGAAGTAAACGCATTTAATGAGGAATATGGTTCATCGGTGGCTATCTAGTGATTCTCACACGTAAAAGATTTCTTTTATGAGTATTCAATAAAGTTGTTTCTACTAGAAAGTTGGAAACCAAATAGAACAAATGATCCAAATTCTTCTACAATAATGTGACTTCTGACTATTTGATCTATAACTCGGATTCTCGACGACATAGGACTGATTTTTAGTTGCCGAAGTGGAGCAAACATTTTTTTCATTGATGTATATGTGCTAGATCCGTTTTGTAGCGATCACAACAATAAGAACAGGTTCAATGTTGTTCGATTTTGCACTATATGTTCATATATTGCTCTTTATTGTGACAAGAATGTTTTCTTTTTCAATTCAAGTCATTTTAGATCTTATCAATGTTTTTACTTACAGAATCAATTCAAAGACACGATTGATATAATGACTATTACAGACAACAACAAAAAAAGGAATCACACAAATGATTATAATGATCTGAGTAATAAGAATTGCATCTCAGTCCATTAGGAGATTTTCCAACGTGCATGTAGAAAGAAGATAACAACAATTATCTTTTTTGTGCGCAGTTTATTCTATTATGAATTACTAAAGAGAAAAAACTAAAATTGAGCATAAGTACTCTTTCTGTTTATCATGCTTTTTACTATTCTTAACTCGATATCATGAATGAATATCGAATTTTTTTCAAAATATCATAAAGAGCGATTAAAAACAATGAAATTATGGTAACGTCAATGGGTTGAAGAAGAGTATTGTTCCATTTAATGAAAAGACAATTAATTCAAAAGAGCATCAGTTTTTGTCGAACAAAAAATACTTTGCACAATGCATTGATTTCATTCGGCATTTTTCACTAACCTTACATAGTTAAAAGAAGCAGACAATTACCACATAGGTAAGAATAAAATCTACTATTAGCTTTATAAGTGCCATCTTTTGCCGCTAACTAAATATAGTGTTTATCATTCATACTTTGAGGAGAACAACACACACAAGATGAAAGAAAACGTGGAATGGCAAAAAAAAGCAGAGAGAAAAGAAAAAAAAATTATAGAAAGAGAAAAAACGAAGGAAAGACAGAATTTGGAAGGAAAATAAAAATCAACATGTTTGAATGATAGGAACCCGTTCTTTTCTCTGCGCATGATGCGAACTGAAAAAAAAATAGCAATTGCTGATAGATACAAAATGCGTCATTTGTTTACTACATACTGAATGTCTTCTGTACAAATGGAAACAACTATTTAAATATGCGTACAGTCTTTGATAATAATTCATTTGTTAATTACCTTGGCAAAAAGCATAACAAGCCGACTGATCTTGTTGATTTTAGTTATGAGTGAAGCTCACGAAGGTTGACTCATCAAACCGATGAAAGAACAACCTTCATATATAAGAAAGTACAGAACAGAAAAAAACACACAAACGTGTGAAATTGGTTGCCACGTGGAATTGTATAAGGTATAGAACAACAAAAAAACAAGTAACAACTCATTGCGACATTTATTTGCACTAACTTGATCGATGTCGACAATATCTCTTCTTGATTTACCAGTCGAAATTCTATACTCTATTTGTGATCATCTCGATATATTGGTCATTCTTCGTTCGTTTCGTCATGTTTGCAAACAGCTATATGCAGTTAGCAGCACCTACGATCGTTTTAAGCTTGATATTGCTTCGATATCAATGTTGGATTTAAAATTTATTTCTCGTCAAATTCAATCTGAAAACATCATGTCATTGGTTGTTTCTCGTTCAGAAACAAACTCAACTCAACTCGATTTATTTCGATCCATTTTCGACATTCGTCGATTTGCTAGACTTCATTCATTGACTCTTCGTGCTGTCGCAGACAGTGAAGCACAAAAATTTTTCGAGGATTTACAATTTTTTCAGGTATGAAGATTCTTTCATTTGTTTCTGTTTGACAACAATAGTACGCAGTGATGAGTTCTAGAGCAGACACTGTAGGACAAGGTTTATACTAAGAAAAACCACGACTTCATTTTCATAAGAGTGCTTATCCTCATTTTTTAGAAAAATAAACTTCTTTTAATATAAATATTTCCTTTGAAAACGCGACAAGGTGTATTAGATATTCCATTTTGGCTGTATTCTAACGTTTTTATATTTTGATACTGGAAATGTATTGCTTAGATGCACAAAACTCTTCGTAGAGAACAACTTTTAGAAATCTTTATTTGCCAGACAAATCCGATTGATGTGAAAAGCTCGAAAAATATTAGTGAAGAAAGTAGCTGTTTAAAAACAACGGTTTTTATTGTTCTTCTCATTTATTATCTTGCTCAGTGTTTGTCGACGAACAATAATTTGTTTTGTTTTTTTTGAAACAAAAAAACTATGTGCCAGGTGTTGAAATGATCTCTGGCTACTGGTTAATTAAATCGATATAATACCATGCTGATCTCTTTTGAGATTTGGTTTTCATATGTTGTATTCGAACTTTTTACCGTAATTCAAAAACTTTCTATGACTAGCATACGAAATAACACTGTGATTTATTTTTTCTCAGACTCTTACGACACTAATTATTCAAGACTTCTTAATGACAAATGAACGAGTACAACATTTGGTCGATCGATTAAAAACAAATACAGTATTCTGATTTTTCTTTTCACTACCTTCTTTGATATCTATCTTCTTGTTCTCCTAGTCAATCATTATACTAGTGCTTTCACATGTGAGAATCTTAGGCATCGACATGCAACATCTTGTTGACCTGTTACGATGCAATACAGTAATTTTTCTTTTTTCTCATGATCTTTTATTCAAAACACAAATGATCTACCTATTTTAATAGTTACTCAGATCACTGAATCTCGGAAAAAATAACATTAGAGACATCGGAATACAGCATTTCGCCGAGGGATTGCGAACGAACAAAGTGATTATGCTTTGCTCTTTACTTCTTCTGTATCTGTGTATTGAATGTTACAGACACTCACGACACTAAATGTTTATTGGAATGACATTGGCGACGAAGGTGCACAACATCTGGCAGATGGATTAACAAATAACATGGTGATACATATTTTATTATTTTATTTTAAATCTCTTGAATATTCCTCTATTTCTTTATACAGACGCTCATATCACTAGACCTAAGTAGAAATTTAATTGGAGCAACTGGAGCACACCATCTAGCTAATATGTTGTGCTGCAACACGGTAGTTTTCATATACTTTGTATTGGTCATATATAAATCGATTTTTTTTGTTGACTCTTCAAGACTCTGAGATCACTGGAACTTGGAAGAAATTCGTTCGAAAACATCGGAGCAAAACATTTGGCTGACGGATTAAAAGAAAATAAAGTGATAGCCATCTTTCTCATTCTTTGACATTCATTTAAGTATTTACTTTTTCAGACACTTACTAAATTGTATTTGGAGGGAAATCAAATTGGAGACGAAGGCGTCATACATTTGGCTGATGCATTACGAAAGAATACGGTAACCTTCTGATTGCTTTCATCGCATATCTACCATATAAATCATTTAACTTTCATAGACACTTGCCGTACTCGATCTCAGAAATAACAATATCGGAAATCAAGCTGTGGAGTACCTCGCTAATGCCTTAGAAAATAATACGGTAACTCTTGTTTTCAGACTATTTCTGTTAGGTTTATGTTCTAACTTCAATAGACACTAAGAAAACTAGAACTCAAAGGCAATAAAGATCGCTATGCCACTGTTGTAGGAGCTGTGATTGCAATAAGAAACGATAAGGTAATCTTTCAAAAAGAACTAGCACCTTTTTTGTATGGAATTGTGCCTTTTTTTTCATACAGTCATTCGAAACATTGGACCTAAGTGGCGATGAAATCGACAACCGTGGTGCACAACGTCTTGCTCATGCATTGCGAAATAATAAGGTGTGTTAAATTTGTCATGGACTTAGCTATATTTATTTTTATCTCTTTTTAAGACACTCAAATCACTAGACCTTAGTGGAAATCAAATCGGAGATATTGGAGCACAATACCTAGCTGATGCGTTAGAAAATAATTTGGTAAATATTATTTTCTCTATCAAAGAATGCACATCTAAAGAAAAATATAATTTCCATGAATAATGACCTTGTGATCGATTCATATCATTTCTGTTTTGAATAGACTCTAAAGAAACTTGAATTGAAACGAAATATCGGCGGTTACTGTGTGGCAATTGGAGCAGCAATAGGAATACGGAATGATGAAGTAACTTCTAGTGGACACTTATCGTGTTTAGATATCACAGTTTTTCTTCAACTT